CTAACAGACATCCTGGAGGCTCTGAGGAGGGAACTTAAATCAGCCCAGAAGCCACATTGTGGCAGTCGTCATAAATTCATGTCAACTGGAAGGTTCTGCTCATTTCCAGAGGTGTAACCGCGACCTTGAACATTGCAGTCAGTGTTCCTTTTCACAATCTTTCCCATTCATCCAAACCCTACAAACCCAGGGCCCGTGAGTGGAGGCAGACGGGGACCAATTAGTCAAGAGCAGTATTCGGCTTGCTGGGAAAATCCCCTTGATCCCACTACAAAGTCAGACACCCCAGTGGAAGTCTTTCCAAAATCTACCCTCTCAGGATCCCCCAGGATTCCCCCATCCATCCGTCCATCCATCCATCCATCTTGCAAATTTTTATTGAGTACCTGCTGTATACCGAGCACCATTCTAAGAACTGGGGAGACGGGGGAAGGTTCAGTGGCAATCCACACAGATGATGGCTCTACCTTTGCAAAGCCTACAGTCCATGGGGAAGACAGACAATCAAACTATAATGTGATTACAGCAGTGTGGCCAGCACCATGGTGGGGAATGTCACAGCTCCGTGGACCTTCAGGGAAGGGGAGTAGAGGAGGCACAGGGTGAGGCTGGGGGCTAGTGGACGTGACCTGCCAACTGAGCCCTGAAGGAGGGCTCAGGGGCTCCCTTCCCTGATGGAAGCCAGCTCAGGGGGAACAGCATGAGTGGTGCACGAAACAGTGAGAAGGGAGAGAATGAGAAGTTCTGGAAATAAGCTGATGGCAATATCAGGGGAGAGCGGATATGTGCGGAGCCTCCCCAGAACCGCTCTGATGCAGCATCCCCCTCAGAGTGTTTGATGCGGAGGCTTGTTTGTAGCAATGCGCCGGGACTGTGGTTTGTAAGATCTCACCTCCCTGCCCTGCCCATATTCCCCAAAGAGTTTGGGCTCTGGGGTCAAACAGAACTTAGTGGCAGTCCTGGCCTTCACTTTGGGCAAGTCTCAGAAAACAAACAAACAAAAAACCAAACAAACAACAACAACAAAAAAAAACCTCTGTGAGCCTCTGTTTCCCCATCTGTAACATGGGGCTAATAGCAATACTTACTTCACACGGGTGTTGTGAGGAAGCAAACTGAGCCCTAGCACCAATCCCTGGCACATCATAAGGTGTTCAAAAAGGAAAACTGTCGTTCTGCCTGGATTGACCATGACTTGGTGAGTATCAAAGCTCAATGATAGGCACATGAGAGCTCAATGGACTATCCTGTTTTCTTCTGAGTATTTTTGAAATTATTATGGTAAAATATATTTTTAAAAACTATGTCTCGTATTATTTCTGCGAGTACTGCTCTGATCCATGCTTCTCTGGGGAGTGTTCCCGTCTGTTGAAGGGAATCAGAGTATGACAAATACAAGAGACCAGAACCTCCCTCCAAAATTCTTCACTTCCACCTGCCAAGTTCATTCTCCCCAATATTCAGAGGGGCCTGAGAGAGAGCCTGCACCCCCTGGCCCATCCCGATCCCATGGCTTGGTTCCAGTGCCAACATCAAAGCTTCAAAATCAGGTGTAAAATGGAAATATTGAAATTCGAGTTTTATTTATTTTTCATCTAAAAAAAGAGAAAAATCAAGCATTCTTAATACTTAAAATACGGATTGAAGCTGTGCTTGCAAAAAAGTAAAGTGTGCAGCTTACTTGTGACACATAAAAGAACATATTTTCTTGCCTACGAGTCTGGAAAAATGGCAACTCAAAGGGAAACACATGGATTAACGCTTATTTCTTTTGGTTCCAGTGAGAGGAGAACTTTCCCCAAACTTGGTTAGCCAGCTGGAAGAAAGTTACTGACTTGACTGTGGAGATCCGTTGATGAATATGAAGACAAAAAGATAGAAACATTTTTTTAAAGTATGGATTGACAGTAGTCTACGTAAATTATTCACAAGTCAAACACATAGATTGGGTGTGAGTGCTCAAAAAATGTTTGTCCAATGGGACTGCATGATCAGTGAAGTCTGGAGGAACTGGTCTCCATAATATGGCCCCTCTACCGTGTCATCAGAGCTCCATGCAGAGGGGGACCTGGATGCTTTGTCATCTGCAGAGCAGAGTCATCTGCTCACAACAGATGGGAGGAAAATGTAGTGGAAAGCATAACTTCTATCTGAATTTCCAGGGCTGGGTGTGTATCTCATGCACTCAGGCAATCCTGAAAATAATTAGTCACACAGACGCAAACTCTGGGAATAAAGAAAGGGGCCTCTCACCAATCGGGGGCAGTCATGCCCACTGCACCTGCAAGGTGCCCCCCTCCCCACCACCAAAAGGGAGAAGGGAGAGCTATCATAAGAGAAGGTGGTCAAGAGACCCTAAGGAGAAGGGGCGTGGGAGGTTGCTGATGGAGACAGGTCCAAATGGAGCATTTGGAGTTGGTGACCTAAGATCCTACTGGGCCATCAACGAGGACCCCAAGGCCAGGACCTTTAGCCAATCCTCAGGAGTGGGAGCCTCCATCTGGGGTGCTCTCTGCTGGCAGCCTGGGCCCAAGAAGCAGGGCTATCTCTTCTTGCCTGACCCTTTGGAGGGTGCTGAGACTCCCTACATCAGAGGATGTAAGAGAGGGTAGGAAGTGTGTCCCACCCATTTGATCTCTTCTCAAAGGCCTGTGAACTCTGGGAGGTGGACATGCTTGGTCTGTGCAGCTGGGCAGAGGCTTGGCCTAGAGATCAGGTCCTGGTTCAGCCTTTTAGCTTTGTGAACCTGGGCATGTCACTGGACCTCCTGGAGCCCTAATTTCCCCGCCTCCCAAATGAACAGAACAAGAACTTTTCCACTTCCTGAGAGATGCCAGTATAGTAATCCCACCCTAAGAACACAGAAAATGGACCCAAAAGCAAGTAGGAAATTAAGACAATACTTTCTGAGTATGATTGGTAATAATTCTCTACTCAACTAGAGACCAGAAGGGTAGGGGTCTGGGGCAAATGGTTTCTTGCATTCCACAAGAACCCCAAGACGGATAGCCCACCAAGTTGGTGGCAGGGGGAGGCCTGGTGTCCCCATTCCTCCCTGCCTCCATCTCAGGGCATCCTCCAGAGATCATGGGATCGTGGACTTCAGTGAGTCTGGAGGGGCCTGCCTGGGATACGGAGAATGTGCAGATGCAGAGGTTGTCCTGGGCGGGTGTGCTCCTGCCTCCAGCCTGCCATCTCATCAATCTATCATCCTCTTAGCAGGTGACACCTCTGGAAGCTCCTCCCGGCTGCCCGGGCATTAGAATTGCAAGAAGCCCAGTTGAATCAGGGAATACAGATGGAGGAATCTCAGATTCAAATGTGTCTAAGTATTGTGAACAGCCAGACTGGGGCAAGGCATTTCTACTGCCCTGCCACCAAAGGGGAGTGGCGGGGGTTTTGTTAGAAGTACAAATTGCTTCTTAATGCAGAGGATAAAGCTGGGCTCGGGCACCTCCTTAGAAATTCCTCCCGCTCCCAGGGAAGCCACCACTGCATGTCAATTTTAATTTTTGAAATTTAAACCAAGGGCTTTGCGTCTAAGCTCCATCTCATCAGAGGGAGGGGAGGAATAAGTCAAAAAGGATTAAGGGCCCATGGGGGATTGCAGATCCATAGCAATTAGACTTCATTTGGGTCTCAGACATTTGGTTTTAATCGCATTTCTGGATGATACAATCGACAAGGCATCAGAAATTGATACGTATGCAACTGTAGACGGGGCCCGACTCTGCCCTCCCCAATTCCCGGGCTCAGCTGGGTTCGGGCTCCACAGTCAGGGGGGTGGGCTGGGGTGGGGTGGGCAACTGGGGTTCCGTTTGGGTCTGGAACTCGAGAGATGGTGGGGTGTGTGTGCGTGTGTGTGTGTGTGTGTGTGTGTGTATACATGTTTTCCCCCGGCTCTCTTGGAGCACTTTCTCCCTGGACTCAAAGCAGATGCAATCATCGCTAATATTCAAGTGAATGACAATGAAACCTTATTCAAATAAAATAAGAGCATAAAGAGGAATAACGACAGTGACAGGACTCAAGGCAGGGGCTGTAATTGTCTCTCAGATGGGACTCAACAGCTTTCAGCATCCTCCAAGAATTAAAGTCCAGCACAATGCAATTTGGGGGCAGACATCCAGCCTTGAACACTGTCACACACCACATGGACATGGACCTACGAATGTGTGTGTTTGTGCACGTCTGTCCCTTGGATTAGTGATGACAGCCATAACATTATATCTATATGAGGGGTGCATGTGCACGCGCGTATTTCCAGCTTTACCCAGGTACACGCACTCCAGGGTCGCCTCTGCGCACACACATTTCTTTTCAAACAACCAACTGGTCAAAACAAGCTCAGTAGGCACTAACAGGTTGCTAGCTGGTTATTTTGTAGGTAACTTACTGTTTATCGGAACTCAGTGATTTAAAAACGAAACAGAAAAGTAAAAAGAAAAAAATCAAAGCCATGTGGGGTGTTTTCCTAACTCGTGAATGTGGAATTGTGAAGGGAAGTAAAGAGGGGAGACCAAACAAGCACATTGGGGTTCAGAGCAGGTGCCCCACATCACCGTGCAAATGGAAGGCAAGACCCAGAAAAAGGATGCCCCCCCAATAGTGTCTATCTCACCACACGGTTCTGGGTGAATTCGGGGAACTGATGGTCCACAGAATTGTCTCTGTTTACCAGCTCTTTTGGGAGATGTGGATCTAGCTGGTGTATGAGCAAATGGACCTGTGCTGAGTATACTATGTGCAAGAGTGGGTGTATTTCTGCCGAGGACTTCTGCACTTCCTTTTAGGGCAAACATCTCAGAGATCACCTGCTGGAGAGTGCCTCATTCATGCCTCCCATTTGCAGCCCAGCGTGCCTCAGTGCCCCGCCCCTTCTCCAGAAACTCTTGCCCTTTGACCTCCTCCCATAAGGCTATCCACTCCAGGGTCCTCTAACTTACCCCCACCCTCCTTTGGGCTCTTCCTGTTCGGGGCTGAGCCCAGGGGAGCACATCCCCAAAGGGAGGGAGGCTGCCACCCCCTCTCCCCACATCTCTTCACCCACCCCAGGTGGCAGAGCCAAGGCAGTGGCCAGCAAGCAGGGTATATATGAGGCTACTCAGGGCCCAGTTAAGGTCTTTACGCCAGGGTAGATGTCTGGAGGCCCCCCGGTCCTGGGGCCACGCTGAGAGAGAGTCGGAGCCCATGGTCTAAAAACATAATTTAATGCGTCAAGGTGGGTCTGACTCAGGAGTGCAGTGGCGAGGTGAGTTTTCCATTTGCTGGGATTCTGCTGCGGGTGGTTTCTGGCTGATGCACAGGGAAATTTGCACAGGTATTTTGGGTCACAAAGAAGGATGCCCCAGGGAGCTCCTGCTCACTTTGGCCTACCTCGCTGGCCAGGGCTAGGAGCCCTCGGTCTCAGGGCAGTCGGAGAAGGAGGGGGGACTGGAAGGGCAGGCCTCCCGCCAGGCCTGTCCAGTCCAGTCAGGTTTGCAAAGTCTGAACTGAGCTGCCTCGCTTCTGGGGTTCGGGTTCACGCTCACCTCGCCACTCAGGCATCCCCTTCTCCCTCCCCAGGTAGGGGACAGGGACCAGGAGGACAGCCCAGAGTGGAGCGTGGTGAGTAGCAGACACACTGAGGTCGGAGCGGGGCAGGGAGGACGGCAGGGATGTGTCTTTTCCGTAGATGTCAGGAAGTGTCATGAAGCGAGAGTGGTCCTCTCCAGCCGGGTAACAGCTCTCCGCCAGGGGCACAGGGTGGCCTGAGGCCACTCTGCCCCGCGCTCCCTGCGCTCCTAATCCGGGTACAGAAGAAAGCCAGAGAATGTGCTGTATTTGTTGTTGTTGCCTCCGTGCGCCTTCCCGCCGTCCAGCTTCACGTACACCTCGTCCCCTGAATCGAGGTGCAGCACCACGCTGTTACTAGCGTAGTCGTAGTTCTGGTCGGCGTCCTGAGCGATGGCACTGGCCCGGACCTGGGGGCGAGCCGCCAGAGCAGGTGGGCCAGGGCACCCCTGCCTGCGCCTTCCCCAACCCCCCTGGCGCCCCCCCCCAAACCCCGCCGGCATTCTGCCCGCAGCTCCAGGGACCACACTCCCACCCAGGCTCCTCTCTCTGTCTCCTCTCTTTCCAACTTGGCCAGCTCCTTTCCGGTCCCCTCCTCTCGGCAGCCGGCAAGTCAAGTCCCGGAAGGAAGGAGAGAGGGGGCTTCAATAAACTCTGACCCAGCGGGGGAGGGGGAGAGCCAGGGCACCAGGGCCGAGAAGAAAGAAGACGGGCGGGGGGGGGGCCAAAGGGGAGACGGGGGCGCAAAGGGAGAGCTAAAGAAGAATGAGGTTTCCGAGGAGCCCGCGGGGCTGCTGGCGGGTACGCTAGTAGCCGGCAAGTGCAGGTGGCGGGGTCTCTGGGCGCTCGGGGCACAGCCTGCCGCGCTACACTGGGACAAACTCGACCAGGGCGCACGGCGAAGCTGGATGCTGCGGCGCGCTCCCTCCCGGGGCTCGCCCGGGCGCTGGCGAGTGGGGAGAAAGGAGTCTGGTCTCCCAGGCGGTTTGGGGCGCGGGGTGGGGAGGACGGTCTGCGGGGATTTGCGGGGGGCCAGCGGCGGTGAAGGGTGACTGACCTGCCCGTTCTTGCAGAGGTCCGCCCACATGCTGGTGCCGTCGCCGCCGCGCATGAGGATGTGGTAGGTGAAGAAGTAGATGCCGCGCACCTGGCAGCTGAACTTGCCGGTAGTGGGGTCGTAGTGATTGCCGAGGTTGGTGACCACGTCGTCGAACTTGAGCACCTCGTAGCCTTCGTGGGGGCTCTTAAGACCCACGTAGAAGGCGATCTTGGGACCGCTGAAGGCGGCGCTCAGCGCGCCGGTCACTTCGCCTTCGGAGTCGCCGCCGACCCCGGTTCCGCCACCTACCACCCCGACACCGCCTGTCGCGCCCGCCGTCAGCTGCAGGCCGGGCAGCCCCGGCCGCCCCGAATCGCCCTTCTCCCCCGGGGGACCCCTGGGTCCAGGCGGGCCCGGCTCTCCAGGGGGCCCCCGCGGCCCCGGTTTGCCGGGTCGTCCCGGGTCGCCCTTGGGTCCCTGGATGAAGGGGGGCGGAGGGTTGGCGCTCAGGTCCTGCATGACTTCCAGGGCGGCAGTGCTGGGTCCGGGCGGCGGCGCCTTGGCGCCCGCGGGCCCCCCGCCGGGTGCGGCGCTGTACGGGTCGCAGATCATGCGGCAGGTGCCCATCATCTCGTAGTGCGCCGCGCCGGGGGGCGCCGCCTGCAGCAGCAACGGCACGGCGATGAGTAGCCCCAGCGCCATGGCCAGGAGCACGCCGACGGCCGCCAGGCAGGCGCGCCGCCGCCGCTGCCACAGCCGGGAGGCGACCGCCACCAGCTCCTCCTTGCCGCCCGGGGAGGTAATGGTGGGGCGGCGCGGGCGGCCCCGCTCCCGGCGCTCGGGGGCCGACTCCGCGGATCCCGGCCGCGTCCCCGACGTGGCGACCCCCTGCTCCGGGCGCCCGACCACTTCTAGCGAGAGGCGCCTCGGCCCAGGTGCCGGTGCCCACCGCGCTGGGGCTGCTCGGGGAAGCCGCGGAGTCCGGCGCGCATGGCGGGGGGCGCTCAGGCTGAGCCCGGCGCCCCACGGGTCCGGGCGGCGGCGGCTGGGGAGCGCCGGGTGCGGCGGCGGCGTCCGGCGCGGGCTCGGCGGCGCTGCCTCCTGCCCGGCTCGGCGGGGCTCGGCGGGGCTCGGCGGGGCTCCGCGCGCAGTGAGGGCGCCCCGGCTCCGCGGCGCGCTCTGCTCTGCTCTCCCGCTGCTCGCTGGCTCCCGCGCGGAGGGGGGACCCAGCTACCCTGACGTAAGGAGTCCGGGGCTGAGCGGCGGAGGCGGCGAGGCAGCGCGCGCTGCCATCACTCGGGAGACGGCGCCCTCATGTCATCAGCCTTCGGTCCTCCTCCTATCCCGCGGCGTCCTCGGCAGAGGCGGCAAAGGCGCAGTTCCTCCTGCGGCGCCCGGGAGCCACAAGTGGGCGCAGCGGGCGCATCCCCGGCCCCCGCGCCTCTGACACACCCACCGGCGGCCACCCTCGCGCGCCTCCCACCCACCGCACACACACGCCCACGCGCGCACTCACGGGCAGACGGCCGCCGCCGCCGGGCCTCCAAGGTGCCCGGAATCCCGGTGCCAGCAAGGTCCTTCGGGGGCGTCACCTAATCCATCCCCCCTGCCTGCAAGCGGGACCAGACTTCAACCCAAGTCAAGAGAGCTCAGTCCCTCGAGGCCCTGGAACGAAGGACTCTCTGAAAGCCCTCCTGACTTACTTCTTCAGAACGAAATAAATCTTGCCTCTGGAAGCTCTTTCGCACACCTAGCCGGAGAACTCCAAGCTGTTAAATAGGCTCCAGAAGACCACCCCACCAACTCTTTGAAAACCTCAAAGCCCCCCGATACAAGAGTTTATTAGCCTCGGCCCCTTTCTTCCACCGAGAAAATCATTGGCCTTTATCCTCTGTATAAAGATGATTTGAATGCAAATCCTTGACACCCAGCACTTGGTGGTAACCTTGGGACACCCAGCTTCCACTCCCCACCCACCACTACCAGGCAGATCCACAGACAGATTCCTTTGAACGTAACCGGCTCTCCCTCCTACTGAGGTGTGTTTAGTTACATATTTGTTTTAAAAAATAGTCCAAAGCCATTCTGAGCCAAAGTTTTGAATAAGCCGTGACACCAAATTTAGAGAAGAATTATCCATCTCCAAAGCAGCATGTGAGGATAAAGGAAGGATGGGAAACGCTCCTGTGTACTGGGAAGACCAGAAATCAAAAGCCGTGGTCTTGTGGTTCTGCTCTCACCCTGAGCAGCTGTGTGACTTTGGGCATTCCCTTCTCTGAGACTATCTTCCCAAAGCTCCAGCCGCCCCCCACCCTGACATAGGAATGCCCCCCTGGAGGGGGGGGCCCTGGGAAGAAAGTCCAAGTGCTGATATCAGTGCTTGGCAATGCATCAGCATCTCTGGAACAATCGTGCACCCTCCCTGGCTATTGCTTTGAGAAGAACATACATTTATCAGGTGTTGTGTTCTTGTGCGTTACTTAAAAATCCTTTTTGTTTCTCTGGTCACTCTGGGTCATTTCCCCATCCCACCCCACAGTGCTCCAGCCTCTTTATTCATGGGTGTATTTCCCAGGGCATAGCATAAGATCTGTCACCTGGTACATATAGGCCCTCAGTACATATCTGTGGAAAAGATGACTGAACCTAGCCTGAAGCAAACATTACCCAGGGGAGAAGGGGGAGAAGAAACTCATTTATTGGGCACCCACTTTGATGTATCAGGTGCTTTGCACGTGCTCTTCACTTTCTCCTCCCAACATCCCTACTAATCTGCAATTACTCTGCCATTATACAGATGAGAAAACAGAGGTTTTGAAAGTGTATGGTGCTGCCCAGTGTCCCCATCCACATGACAGAGCTCAACTCCTCATTCCCTGACCAGGGGCTCTGAGAATGTGGTGGTGAACTCTGTTGCCAGCTAGCTCCTGGGCACATTCTTCATTGGTTCAGGAGCCCTCCATTCCCTTCCCTAGGGCCACCCCTAAAACTCATGAGCCACAGTGATTCCAGGAGCCACACCGTCTGGTCCCAATCCCAGGTCTGCAGCTTTGTATCTGTGTGACTTCGGGCAATTGCTTCACCTCTCTGAGCCTCAGTCTCCATGTGTGAAGAATGGGAATGCCAAAAGTACCTGTCTCAGAGTTGTTAAGAGACTAAATGAGTTCATTAATATAAAGGCCTTAGAATAGCTGGCTCAGTAAAGGTTAGCTTTATTATTATTACCTATTGATACCTTAGACCCCCACCACCATGATCAAGACCACTAAGATGAGACATGTGGGTAGTAAGCAGGGTGGGGGGGTAGATTTGTGAATTAAAAAGGAGAGAGACCCAAGACCACCTACATGCTCTATCCTTCCCCAAAGTAGAGAAGGGGGATCAGACCACCCCACCCCCCTCAGGCCACCCTGCTCTGACTACCTGCCCTCCACCAAAACTGTCCAGAGTGTTTCTGGTCCCTAGTTCCACCAGGAAAAACGTTTTCCAGGCAGACCATCACTCAGTTTGAATCCCCCAGCCCTGTAGACCACCATCCCCAAACCCCCGTGTTTTCGCCCCTGCAGAATCTGGGCAGGGAAGAAGCAAGGAGGGGCAAATGTTTGAGACCCAGGCTTTCACCCTCGCAGACTCAGGCAAAGCAACCTTTCCCAGGGATCAGCATTCCCAGGAGCACCGATGGCCTTGAAGGGAGGAGGGCTTCTCCCCAAGGCCAGCCGTCTACCAGGAGCAAGGATGGTGGCAGCTAGAACAGGTGGAGAGCAGGCAGTCTCCTGCCCCAGACCACATGAGTCATCAGGTCCTTCCCCCTGCCCCCCTCCCTCCCTCTCACCATGGCAAAGCCAGACAGAGTGGCCTGCTAGAGCATTTGACACCCCTCCCCATCAGCCTGGCTTCTGCTCTCCCTGAGTGATTCTCGTCATCAAGACTGTCTTCTCACTAATATTAGTTATGACCTTTCTTGGCATATTGCCTTTCACTTAGACCATGGTTTTACATTTTAAGGCCCAGTAATGACTCAAATCTACCTAAAATTGCCCTAGTATGCCAGCCTGCATTTCTTGCACCAACATCTCCACCTTACAAAGCCCTTGTCGTCTGTGATATATAGTTGGACAGTTGGTCACACATTGTCTTATCTGACACTCTAATGAAACCCACCAGGAATGAGCCTCACTTTTCCTTCATCGGTACTCCAGTGTCTTCAACGTGGGATGCCAGTCCCCGCTCATCTCTCTGGATTCATCCCTAAGTATCCTTCAAGTTCTGTCTAAGTGTCACTTCCTTGTCCGAAGTCTTCCTGACCTGTCTCCAAGCAGAGTTGACAATTCCTGCCCATGAACCCTTAAAGCACCTTGAATAGGGGCGCCTGAGGGGTTCAGTCAGTTAAGCGTCTTACTCTTGATTTTGGCTCAGGTCATAATCTCGGAGTCGTGAGATTGAACCCCAATCAGCTCTGCACTGGACGCGGAGCCTGCTTACGATTCTCTCTCTCCCTCTCCCTCTGCCCTCCCCCACACTGCTCACTCTCTCTCTCCCTCTCTCTAAAGAAAAAAAAAAGTCCCTTGAATATACGTGCCCCTGCCATCATATATCTTATGATCAAATATTTGTTTACTTATTAACCTCCCCCAAAAGGCTGTGAGCTCCAGTGGATCAGGAATCACGTCATTCATTTGTTCCACAAATATTTGTTCATCCCTACTGTATGCCAGGCACTGTGCTACATGCACTCAGCACAGTGGTGAACAGTACAGGTCCTGTCCATTCTAGCTATCCTGCAGGGCTCCCTATACCTCTTCTACTTGTGTCACTTGGGTTTATATTTAAATAGCTACTACCTGGCATGGCTGTTGGTTAGCATGCTTTCTTCAAATTAGATCTGTGCCCCCAAGTAGACTGTAAGCTCTTTAGAGACATCATCTTGAATACATTGGCTGATCTCCTACCTACATCCCCAAGAGGAAGGGCAAGCATGAGATAAGGACAGAGAGTTAGGCAGGAGCCACATTACACAAGGTTTTGGTGTCCATGTTAAAAGGTGTGGATTTTATGCTGAGTGTAGTTGATATCCCCTGACGGAGTTTAAGTAGCACAACGCCATCTCCATTGTGCAAACAAGAGCCTGATTGCTATGTGGTGAATGGTGTGAGGAAGGGAACAGAAATAAGGAAACCAGTTTGGCGGCTGTTGCGTAATCCAGGCAAAAGGTAATGGTGGCTTGGTGTGAGATAGTAGAAGAGAAGTAGGTAAATTCCAGATGCATTTTGAACATGGAATCCATGGGTCTTGCTGATGGATTCAAGATGGAAGTTAAGAGAGGAGAAGGGAGAGGATGAGAAATCAAGGTCACCTCCTAAGAAATGGCTTCAGCAGCTGGGTGAATGGCCATGAGAAAGGGGATATTTGGGGAAGGATAATCCATTGTGGGAGATGGGAGGTAAGAGGTGGATGGAATTGTGAGCTCAGTTTGGTAATGTTAAGTTTGAGACATCTGTGCGCTATTTGATGAAGACGTCACCCGGGCAGTGCAGAGGAGTCTAGTACTCAGAGGTGAGGTCAAAAATGGAGATATACACCAGAAAGTCCTCAGGATACAGATTATTTGTAGCCTTAAGAGTGAAGAATGGAGAATGGGGGATGGAGAGAAGGCGAGGGAGAACCCAGTCTCATGATGAACAAGCTCTCCACCCCAGTCATTCTGAAGCTGGATAGAGGAGAAGGGGAAATCTGCAACAGAGATTGAGAAGAAGTGGCCAGAGCAAGGAAGAAAACTAAGAGGA